TTGGACCCCCAAACAACCCTCAAAACTTTAGCAATTTCGCACTTCGCAACCCCCCAGGGACGCCGAGGTCCCCCTTATGACTGCGTAAAACGTCACTCCTCTGGGCCCCCCTACCCCCATCGAAACTGGCGACAAGTTCGCTGATAGCAGCCCCCCCCCCCAGGGATGGCGAGGTCGGAGACAAATGCGAATGACGCACGAGACAAAAAGACAGAGAGAGAGAGAGAGAGAAATACATATATACTTATATACATTATATATCTAAACAGAGAGAGAGGGAGAGAGAGAGAGAGAGAGAGAGAGAAAAGAGAGAGAGAGAGAGTGATAAACATACAGCGATAAAGAGAGATAGGGAGAGACAAAAGGAGAGAGAGAGAGAGAGAGAGAAACAAAAAGGGACAGCGAGAGAGAGAGAGAGAGAAAGAGAGAGAGAGAGAGAGAGAAACAGAAAGAGCGATCGAGACGGAAAGAGAGAGAGAGAGAGGGAAAGGCAGAGAGAGAGAGAAAACAAAAAGAGAGAGAGAGAGAGAGAGACAGAGCGAGGGAGAGGGAGAGAGAGAGAGAGAGAGAACCAAATAACGAGAGGGAGGAAAATGATGGAAGCGGAAGGAAGAGACGCGACCACGGTGCTCTGTTTCCTGCGATGTACCCAACCCATCGGCGCCAAAGGATGATAGAAGGCGCGCCGACACTTGTGTGACAGCAGTACTGCAAGAGACGGCGCACGGCGGTTATCTATATCGTGCGAAGTGTGCGTGGACGAGTCGCACAATAGAGGTACTCATGGCCAAGAGGCATTGAACTGGGAAGGAGAAGCACAAGGAAGACCTCGGGGTGGAAAACCAATCACCTCGGCAGACGCAGCGATATTATGAAACATGGGCAAGATGAAGTTACATAGGCGGAGACGCAACCAAGCAATGAAGTGTCGCGTCTTTCCATGCCGAACTGCTCAACACCTGCGCGGCCAGCGCTCCGCGTTGCTGCAGCGTCTCGGAGATGTAAAAGCTCCCGGTACTAGTGTAAGAAGCGGTCAAATCCTAGCTCGCCCGCCAGCCTCTCCGGTTCCTCCCAGCACCTCTTAGTGCGAACGCACAACGCGCGCCAGCGCTCTAACAACCCTCGAAAGTGGCGACAGTTTCACACTGCGCAGCCCCACTGGGATGGCGATGTCTTTTAAGGATCTGCGTCGGACCCCACTGCGCTGGCTCCCCCAGCAACCCTCGAAAGTGGCGACAATGTCACACCTCGCAGCCCCCCAGGGACGGCGAGGTCCCGTTCGGGTCTGCGTGGGACCCCATTGTGCTGGCTCCCCCAACAAGCCCTCGAAAGTGGCGACAGATTCATACTGCGCAGCCCCCCTAGGGATGGCGAGGTCCTGTTGGGGTCATCGTGGGAACCAACTGCGTTGCCCCCCCCAGCAACCCTCGAAAATCGCGACAGGTTTCGCACTTCGCAGCCCCCCCCCCAGGGGATGGCGAGGTCCCGCCGGGCCCGCGTGGGACCCCACTGTGTTGCCCCCCCCCGCAGCCCTCGAAAGTGGCGACAAGTCCCACCAGCCCTTTGGGCGTGAGTGGTTTAGCGAGCTCTCTCTGTTCTCAACCCCCCTTCTTCCCCTTCGGGGAGGGGTTTACCCCTCCCCCTACCCCCTCCCCCTGGACCTGGAGAGGGGGTTTCGCGGGTGGTCCGAGGGTCGTTTTTTTATCCCTGGGAGGGCTAAAATTCGACACCCCTCACGAGGATCGTGGCCCCGACGGGGGTACTGACAAAAATGCTCGCCCCATCTGTGATCGATCGCCCCAAAGATGGCCCCAACAGGCCCCCAAGACGCTCCAAGAGGCGCCCAAGAGGGCCCCCGGACGCTCCCAAGAGGCTCAAAAGAGAGCCCAAGAGGCCCCTCTACGATCTCCAAGAGGCCTCCAAACTGCCTTGGATACGACTACTTGTGCTACTACTACTACTACTACTACTACTACTACTACTACTACTACTACTACTACTACTACTACTACTACTACTACTACCACTACTACACTACTACTACTACTACTACTACTACTACTACTACTACTACTACTACTACTACTACTACTACTACTACTACTACGACTACTACTACTACTACTACTACTACTACTACTACTACTACTACTACTACTACTACTACTACTACTACTACTACTACTACTACTACTACTACTACTACTACTACTACTACTACTACTAGGGGCCCGAACGACTTGCACCAGGACGAGGTGCCCGAACGCCCACGCCACGAGGAGCCCGAACGACTCACACCAGGACGAGGGGCCCGAACGACTCACACCACGAAGAGCCCGAACGACTCACACCAGAAGGAGGGGCCCGAACGACTCACACCAGGACGAGGCGCCCGAACGACTCACACCACGAGGAGCCCGAACGACTCACACCACGACGAGGGCCCCGAACGACTCACACCACGAGGAGCCCGAACGAGTCACACCAGGAGGAGGGGCCCGAACGACTCACACGAGGACGAGGGGCCCGAACAACTCACACCACGAGAAGCCCGAACGACTCACACCAGGACGAAGAGCCCGAACGACTCACATCACGAAGAGCCCGAACGACTCACACCAGGAAGAAGGGCCCGAACGACTCACACCAGGACAAGAAACCCCAAACGACTCAAACCACGAGGAGCGCTTTCTCTCCCTCCTCCTCCGCCTCGTCCTTCTCCCGCTCCCACCACAAGGAGGATGTACAAGGAGGCGGGAGGAAGGAGGAACAGGGGAGATATGCGGGGGCAGGCGGAAACACGCCTGAAAAACACGACTGTCGGCATGCTTCGCAAGAGTTGCTGTTTTGAGATGGGCTGGTGGGGATACGCGAAGCGTAAAGAATTTCGTACCTCGCAGCCCCCCCAGGGACGGCGAGGTCCCGCTGGGGTCTTGCGTGGGACCCCACTGTGCCCCCCCCCCCCTCCCCCCCCAGCAGCCCTCCAACATGGCGACAGATTTCACACTGCGCAGCCCCCCATAGGGATGGCGAGGACCCGCTAGGGTCTGCGTGGGACCCCACTGTGTTGGCCCCCCCCAGCAGCCCTCGAAAGTCGAGACAAAGTCACATCTCACAACGCCCAAGAGAGATACGAGAGGAGAGAGCCGAGAGGAGAGCGGAGAGGGGCAGGAGGAGGAGAAGGAAGTCGGCACCTCACTACTCTGTTCAAGACGAGAATCCAACACAGAAGGGTTGGGAACAACCACCACACCGGTTGGGGACCTGCCCTTCGAACAAAAAAGCAGCTGGGCGCCGTGGCAACAAAAACACCGTACCACCACAACAACTCCGTCGTGGCACGAAAATCAGCATGTTTTTGTGGCGAGTGAGGAGGAACCGAGAAGTAGTTGGCCGTCTCAGAAGGCGGCGGGGCTTGCGTCTCAGAAGCCCTCGCGACCTTTGAGAAAACTAAAAACAACTTCTCAAAGGCCTGGGGACTGTCAAGCCTTCTGACAGGTTCCCTACGTCTTTGGAGAAGGCTCAAGAAACTTCTCAAAAGGACGCGGGACTTCCGATACAGGCCTCCTAGATGGGGTCGCAGTAGATGGGGACGGAGGATCTCGCCGCATCGCCGATACATCCGCGATGCATCGGCGATGCATCGGCGATGCGCCGTCGATGCATCGACGACGTCAGCGATGCATCGGCGACGTCGGCGTGGGGAAACACGGGCTCCACATCGAGCCGCATCGCCGATGCATCGGCGATGCGGCGCGATCCTTCGCCCCCATCTACTCCGATCGGGGATGGACAGACCTCCCTTTAGTAAAACGTGGTTTAGTGAAGACGACCTCGGGCCCAAACCTGGCGGGCGCAAGCCTGGAAAATAACTGCCGCGGCGCCCTCTCGAGAACCGAAAAAGGACAATTCACTAATCGACGTGTCAGGGTAGGAGGTCTGTCCACCCCCGATCCGACCACATCGAGGAGGCCCAGATCCGAGCCGTCTGACAAGGCCCACCCCGTCTCCCTAACCTCTTCCGGGCTCGCCGCCGATCCACAGCCCAGCGGAATCCATGGGCCGGCTGCCCTGGCGCCCTCGACGGCAGTCGACAGCTTCGTGGACCTGCCCGGTGGGCCTATCCAGGACTCGCGCGGCGCTGGCAGAACCTGCGACCCAGGTTTAGGTCGGGCATGTCCCCCTAGAGGCGGATTTTGGACGAAAAATGAAAAGTGGCAAAAAAGACCCCCAAATGGTGAAACATAGTAAAAAGAATCGCTCCAAGACTATTGTTGGACAATTTTTTTAGTATTCCACCTGCAGAAGAACGTGCAGGACTCAAACCCAGGTGACGCAAGGGCTGAACACTGCCAGCCTTGGCGCGACATCGACGATGCAACATCGGGCCTCACATGGAGCTGTATTGGCGATGCATCGGCGATGCGGCGCGGTCCTCCGACCCCATCTATCTGGACCCCATCTAGCAGGTCTAGATCCAAGCTGTGCACGGTGGCGCGTGCGAGCGTAGCTTCCTGACCATGCCCCTGTCGCCGATGATCTGCCCTCTGGCCAACACGTGACAGCCCCTAGACCGGTCCCCCGGCATCGGTAACCCATCGCGGCTCCCCCATCGTTTGCCCCCCACCGCGGCTGCGTGCAGCTGTTCGGGGGCTTCCCGCCGCAAGTAGAGGAACACATAATTGCACAACATAAACCTTCGGATTTCCGAAAGTTTATGTGTGATGAAATTGTTCTTCGAGATGGTCGGGCCGCTCATGCAATGTGTTCGAGCAAGGATGCATGATTGCATCACACCCTGATAGGTCGAAACTCCTCACCCACGGGGGCGCGTTCTGAAACGGCTTGTGGGGCGAACCCAGTCGTAGCAACGAGGGAAGGGCACCAATATCGGTTCGCTCCCCTCCTCTGAGGCTCAAGTGCTGGCTGGCCACTCTCCCATGTTTGCATATCTTTCATTGTCTGTCTCTGTCTGTGCCCCTCGTGCCCGTGCCGCTTTCCTCCACGGCGCCACTGACCACCGCGTCGTAGGCCCAGCAATTGGGATGAACCTGGGGCGACGCTGGGGTGCCCCTCTCATCCGCCCTCCTCATTTTGAGGCCGTACGTTGTTTTTGTTGGTTGTTGAACTAACACGACTGAAGAATAATTATTGTTGATCCACCCTCCGGTGACCATTGCGCTTTTCAATTGAAATGCTTCCCCTGGGGCTCGCGCCCTGTATTTGATCCGGGAACGTCACTAGGCTGGACATGGGCTGTTGCCCCCGATTTGCAACAACAGCGGCTCCCGCCGGATAGCTCCTCACAATGTATTACCAAATCGCGCTCTCACGCGGAACTTCCTTAGAATTTATATACGAATCGCGCTATCGCGTGGGACCTCCTCGCAGCTCATTCAGACGATGCGCCCTCGGCGCTCAAAGTCACGCTCTCGCTCTGACTTTTCTCACGATTTACTTGGGAATCGCGCTATCGCTCGAGACTTCCCCGCGAACCATGCAAAACCCACGCTTCAACAACCCGCCTGCTCGACCTGGTCGCCTGGACCCGTCTTCCCGACTTGCCTGCTATTGGTCTGCCCACCCGATCTGCCCGTCTGGTTTTATCACTTGTTTTCTGTTCCTTGCCCCCGCTAATCTCTCGTGCTCCATCATTCTCCCTACCCCTTCCACCCGTCTTCTCTTCCCTTGTTTTAGGGGCTGAACAACATGCGCGTGACAGGTAAGGAAGATATACCCCCAAGGGGGTACGATCGAAGACGACGAGGGCGGGTACCGAGGGTTTGCGAAATACACGTATTGATTGGCACGAGAGCAGATAGTAGCGACCAAGCTTAAAATGATTGCTGTTGCTGAGCTCTCATTACTGAAAACATATTAGTGATCCCCCATCCAATGACCATTGTGTGTTTTCAAATGGAAAGCCCTTCCTGGGGCTCGCACCCTGTCTTATATTAGGGAGACTCGCTAAGGTCAAACTGCGTTGTTTGCCCCAAGACTACAACAACAACGGCTCCCGGGATACTTTCTCACAAAGATTCCCAAATCGCGTTCTCGCGCGGGACTTCCTCTCACATGGTCCACGAATCGCGCTCTCGCGTGGAACTTCCTCACAATTTATTCAGACGCCACGCCCTCGACATTCAGGAGTCACGCTCTCGCTGTGGATTTCCTCACGATTGGCTTGGGAATCGAGCTGTCGCTCGAGACTTCCTCGCGATTCATGCAGCACACGCTTCGGCAACCCGCCTGATCGACCTGACCGCCCGGGCCCTCCTTGCCGACCCGACTGGTAGGGTCTACCCGCCCGACCTGCCCGTCCGGTTCCGCCACGTGATTTCTGATCCTAGCCCCCTCTCCTCCTAGTCTCTCTCGTGTTCCATCCTCCTCCCTCCCCCTTGTCCCGTCCTTCCATCCGTCCTCCCTTCTCCTGCCGCAGAGGCTGCATGAAAAACACGTCGCAAGTGAGAAATAGACCCCCAAAAAGGAAACGGTCGAAGACGAAAAGGGCGGATATCTGGGGTTCGGGATATACGTGTTGAGTGTTACGCGAGCAGATAAGAGCGAACAGTCGTAAAGTGATTGTTGCTGTTGTTAGTGTTGTTGTTGAACGCCCACTACTGAAGAATGATTATTGTTCATCCCCTCCCTCCGGCCCTCTGGTGACCATTGTGTTTTTAATTGAAATGCTTCCGTTGGGGCTCGCACCTTGTCTTTTAATCCAGGAACGCCACTAAACTAGAAATGGGTTGTTGCCCCCCAGTTTGCAACATCAGCGGCTCCCGCCAGATAGTTCCCCACAGTGTATTTCCAAATCGCGCTCTCGCGCGGAATTTCCACACAATTTGTATACCAATCGCGCTCTCGCGTGGGACCCCTCGCAGTTGATTCAGACGATGAGCCCCCGGCGCTCAGAAGTCACGCTCTCGCCATGGCTTCTCTCACGACTTACTTGGGAATCGCGATATCTTTCGAGACTTTCCCGCGCTAGGCTCAAACTGCGTTGTTGGCTCCCGGATTACAGCAACAACGGCTCCCGCCTGAGATTTCCTCACAATTTAGCCAGGACCCCCGCTCCCGCCTGAGACGTTCGATTTACTCAGGAATAGCGCTCTCGCTGGGGACATCCTTAACATTTATTCAGCAATCGCTCTCTCGGCGCTTTGGGGTCGCGCTCTCGCTCGAGACCTGCTTGCAATTTACTCAAGAATCACGCTCTTGCGTTGGAGCACGTGCACTTTACTCAATCGCCGCGCTCCTGACATTCAGGCGCCCAGGAGCCGCGCTCACGCCTGGGAATCCCTCGCAGCTCACTTAGGAGTCGGGATCTCGCTGCCCTTCGTGGCCCCGTAGAAAACCCTTCGCGGCCCCTCGCTGCCCTTCGTGGCCCCGTTGCAGCCCTTCGTGGCCCCGTCGCTTCCCTTCGTGGCCCGATATCTGCATGCCTTTCGTGGCCCCCGCGTGTCCGCGCCCGCCGTGGACCCATATGCATGCGTTTCGTGGCGGCCCCGCCGTCGCCCATCGCGGCCCCCTCGTTGCCCTTCGTGGGCCTGGCGCTGCCCCCGGCGGCCCCGTCCTTGCCTGCGGCCTAACATACGCATGCCCTTCGCAGCCCCGCTGTCGCCCTTCGCGGCCCCCATCCTGCCCTTCGTGGCCCCGCTGTCCTTTTCGATCTCGCTCGCGCTCTCGCTTTCGCCCGTCGTCGTCGTCGTCGTCGTCGCCGCGGTCGGCCCCCTGTCCGCCCCCCTTGGGGTCGGGCTGCTGCCGGTCAGCGCCGCCGCTGGCCAGGCCGACGGTCCGCGGCCGCCCCGCCGCTTGCCGGGGCCCGGCCTGCAGAGAAGAAAGATATGTCCCCCCAAGGGGTACGATCGAAGACGAAGACGGCGGGTATCGAGGGTTTGGGAAATACACGTTGAATGTCACTCGAGAAGATGAGAGCCAACAGTGTTGTAATGATTGTTGTTGTTAAACTTTCATTACTGAAAAGTGAATGTTGTTGACCCTTCCCTCGGGTGACCATTTTGCTTTTTCAATTGAACAACTTCCCCCGGGGCTCGCACTCCGTTTTTGATCAAGGAAACGAGCGGGGCTCAAACTGCGTCGGTGGCCCCGGGATTACATCAACAACGGCCCCCGCCTGAAACTTCCCCTCGCAGTTTAGCCAGGGCCACCGCTCCCGCCTGAGACTTCCTCGCATTTGACTCAGGAATAGCGCTTTCGCTTGGGACCTCCTTACCATTCATTCAAGGATCGCTCCCTCGGCGCTTTGGAGTTGCGCTCTCGCTAGAGACTCGCTAGCAAGTTACCTAGGAATCACGCTCTTGCGTCGGATTTCCTCTCAATTTACTAAAGCGCTGCGCCACCGACGCTCGGACACCCAGGAGTCGCGCTCACGCTTGGGACTCCCTCGCAGCTAAGGAAGACGGGATCTCGCTACCCTTCGTGGCCCCGTTGCAGCCCTTCGCGGCCCCCGCGCTGCCCTTCGTGGCCCCGTTGCAGCCAATCCTGGCCCCCTCGCTGCCCTTCGTGGCCCCGTTGCCACCCCTACGTGGCCTTTTCGCTGCCCTTCGTGGCAGCGGTCGCGCCCCGTCGCGGCCCCCTCGCTGCCCTTCGCGGCCCCGTTGCAGCCCTTCGCGGCCCTTTCGTTTCCCTTCGTGGCCCCATATATGCATGCCCTTCGTGGCCCCCGCTCGTTCGCGTCCGCCGTGGCCCCATATGCGCGCGCTTCGCGGCCCCGCCGTCGCCCTTCGCGGCCCCCTCGCTGCCCTTCGCGGCCCCGGCAGTATCCTCGGCGGCCCCGCCCTTGCCGTCTGCGGCCTAATATACGCATGGCTTTCGTGGTCCCCGTTCGTTCGCGCTCGTCGCGGCCCCGCATGCGCGCCCTCCGCGGCCCCGCCGTCGCCCTGCGCGGCCGCCTCGCTGTTCTACGTGACCCCGCTGCCAACCTCAGTGGCCCCGTCGTTGCCCTCCGTGGCCCCGCATTATCTGCTCTTCGTGGCCCCCGCTCGTTCGCACCCTTCGTGGTCCCATGCGCATGCCCTTCGCAACCCCGATGTCGCCCCTCGCGGCCCCCTTCCTGCCCTTCGTGACCCCGCTGCCTTCGTTCTCGGTCGCGCTCTCGCTGTCGCTGGTCGTCGTCGTCGTCGTCGTCGTCGTCGTCGTCGCCGCGGTCGGACCCCTGTCCGTCCCTCTTGGGGTCTGGCTGCCGCCGGTCAGCGCCGCCGCTGGCCAGGCCGACGCTCCGCGGCCGCCCCGCCGCTTGCCAGGGCCAGACCCGCAGGGGAGAAAAAAACGCCCCCCAAAAGGGGCACGATCGAAGACGAAGAGGGCGGGTATCGAGGGTTTGGGAAATAAGCGTTGAATGACACTCGAAAAGATAAGAGCAAACAGTTTTAAACTGATTGTTGTTGTTGCGCTCTCAACGCTGGAACATATATTTTGTTGACCCCCCACCAGTGACCATTGCATTTGTTCAGTTGAAGTGTTTCCTCCGAGCCTCGCGCCCCCTCTTGCAAAAATCACGGGGCTCAAACTACGTTGTTGGCCCCCGGATTACAACAACAATGGCTCCTGCCTGAGACCCCCCTAACAATTTAGCCAGGACCCCCGCTCCCGCCTGAGACTTCCTCGCGTGTTACTCAAGAGTCGCGCTCTCACTTGGGACTTCTTTACAATTCATTCAAGAATCGCTCTCTCTCTCTCTGCATTCTGGAGTCGCGCTCTCGCTGGAGACTTCCGTGCCATTTACTAAGGAATGCGCCCTTGCGTTGGCATTCCCCGCGCTTTACTCAAGCGCTGCGCCCCCGACGCTCCGGCACCAAGGAATCGCGCTCACGCTTAGGACTCCCTCACAGCTTACTTAGACATGGGGATATCGCTGTCCTTCGTGGCCCCGTTGCAGCCATTCGTGGCCCCCTCGCTGCCCGTCGCGGGCCCGTTGCATCCTCTACGTGGCCCCCTCGCTGCTCTCCGTGGCCCCGTTGACCTTTTGTGGCCCCCATCGCTGCACGTCGTGGCCCCGTTGCAACCCCTACGTGGCCCCCCTCGTTGC